GTGGGATCGTGTCCGGGACGACGAGGGTCCGGTTCAGCAGGATGGCCATGAGGCGCGCGTTCTCCAGCGCGATGCGCTGGTTGTTAAGGCCCCCTCGGTCTCGTTGTAGGTGAGGTACCGGTTGTTTCCGGGCCCGCGGCGCTCGTTGTGGCTGGTGTGGCTGCCGTGGATGACGTGCCACTTCGCATGCGCGCACGCTGCGAGGGCGATTAAGAGCGGATGCCACCCCATAAAAAAAAACTACAGGAGCTGGTGAGCACTACGGCCGGAAGTTAAATAAAAATATCTTGAAGCAATTAATTTGTTTGAGGAGTTAAATGACGATTTCGTAGCAAATCGTGAAAGATTTACCAAAACTCTCTCTCTCCAGCCAGCAAATCGAGCGGATTTGCTCGCCGCCCGGGCACGAAAGACAAATTTTTACGCGCGTTGGTCGCCCGCGCACCACGCCCGTGTCAGCCCGGAGGCTCGTAGGGGCGCATCTGCTGACCCCAGACGACATCGCTTGCCCGAAGGGCCTCCTGGGACCAGCCGAGAGTGGGATGACGCCTCGTGAGGCCCGCCGTGCCGGCGGCGTTGGGCCGAAGCCGGCGCCGGTCGTCTCAGCGCCGCCGAGAGGTGGTCCCAACCGACTGGGAAGGTCTCCATCCGCTGCCGTGGTGGCGCGAGATCGGCGCGACACTCGCCGTGCGGTGGCACCGGCGCAAAATGCCCACGGCCACCGTCGGGACGAAACGCCGCCGGCAGCTCGTCCCGGTGGACTCGGCGATTTCGGGCTCCCCCGAGGAACCCGCCGCCTTGGACGCGACGGGGTCGATGACGAACGATCTCCGCTGCTGCGATGGCTCGAAAACCATCTTAGAGGGGTCGCGAGGGGGCAGCGCGTCCCTTCCCACCCACTCTACCTCCCCGTTCCAGTCGCCACGCGGTCGTATGAGCGTCGCGTCTTCGCATGTGCCTCACCCTCGTCCATGCGGACCTCGAAGTCACTGGGATCGTTGCACAGTTCCGCGTTCCGGCGGCGCTGCAGGGCCATGAGCACCGCTCAAATGATCATACTCGCGCGGAGCGCGCGCTTCGGACGTTGCATATCCAAATACATGCTTCACCTGCACGAGAATCTAACTCTTGGACTCGGACAATTGGTTTGCCGGGAGCAAACGATTAAAAAAATCTAACTTCCGGCCTTATACTTCGGGTTGTCGAAGCGAGGTCAGGCAGGGCCGCCTTCCGGGCCGCGTCCTGGCCCGCATCGACGATGAGGTCGCCGTGGATCTTGGACGCCTTCTGCCCCGCCTCGATCCTCAGCTCGATGGGGCGCAGATACACGTGCGCGATGCCCGGTTCGTCGGCGCCGCGCAGCGGCAACGCGTCGATCGCGTGCCGGGACTTGGGGCCCTCGTCGAAGGCCCAGAACGTCGGCGCGCCGCCGTTGTAGACCTTGTGGATCTCGTGCGAGCACCTGGGGGGTTGGGGGTCATGCGCGCGGCGCGCGCGCGCGCTGGACGCGGAGCGACGCGCGGTCCACCCTCGGAGGTCTGGTGCGCCGTGCAACGGAGCACGGCGCGCGTCTTGTTGTTCCCAATCTGCCGGTACTTGTAGCGCACCATGAGCCACGCCTTGCCGGCCTTGGCGTCCACGCAGGCCTTGAGGAAGAGCGTGGGGCGGGAGCTCGGCCCGGAGACGCTCCCCAAGGGGCGGCCCTTCTGCTTCTTGGCGTCGACGAGCGCCGTGGGCTCGTCGGGCTCGAAGAGGCCATCGAGGTCGGCTAGGAAGGCCGCCTCGCCGTCGTCGTCCGCAGCCCGCTTTTGTCCTCTCTGCGCCATGAAAGTCGTCTTCGAACAAAGTCGCCTTTGAGACATTAAATCAAAATTCAAATTGTTGCAGTATTGAATCATTCTGAGCCAACGTCATCGGAGAAAATCATAAAAAATCTTATATCATGCCCGTTCATATTTATTTGCATTTATTTAGAGATTTATTTCCCGCTCGAGACGGACCCCTCGTTTCGACCGACGGATAACGCTATCGATGATGTGATGCGCCGGCGCCGTGCCGTTTCGCGCTAAGTGGTGCACGAATCGCGCGTGCGCTAGCGACGACGAGGCGGGAGCGCAAAAAATCCTGCTGGCGGCGTCCTGCGACGAGATTTTCGATCACTGCGACTGTGGGGCGCGCCCCACTCGATTTCTGCAGCTCCAGGTTTACATATCGTGACAGCTGATATGGGGCAACTCATCGCCTCTCTGTGGTCGCCCTGCGGCTGACTTGGGTTCTAATCTCCCCCGCGCGCGCGACGACGACGACGACGACGGCGGCGGCGACGGCGGCGGCGGCGGCGGCGGCGGCGGCGGCGGCGGCGGCGGCGGCGGCGACCGACCGGCCCAGAAAGTCGGTGCCAGGAACTCGCCGGGGGCCAAGGGGAAGTCGCCCGACACCTCCCCGAGTACGCCCAAGTAGGATTTAATCAGTTCACCACCCTGTAGCTCGAGGTCACTCGAGGACTACTTCAAATTCAAGCCCAGTGGCCTTTACCCCGACTCCGACGAAGAGTAGGCAGCTCAGGCCACGAGAGTGTCGCCCCATGTAAGCGGGGTCCCACGCGCGTGGTGCGCTACCACGCTCCTTCTCTAAGAAAAAACAAACAAAAAATTTGAAGGTGAGGTCCGTCTTGGTATTAATTATGGGAAGAAGCGTCGGTATGATGGGACATTAAATTCCAGGTAATGATGGTAAAAAATGGTGGACGGTGAGGTCCCTTTTGATATTTTGTTTTGAAGTGAGGTCCATTATTAAGGTCTCTTGGTGAGAAGCCCTTCGGTTTTGATCCTTATTAATATTATACTCGGATGAACGAAGGACGTGAGCGACGCGGAGAACTCCAGGCTCTCCAAGGCTGCGCACGCGAAGAAGCGCGGGTCGATGACGTCGAGCTGCTGCCGCAGGGCCGACACCGAGTCGCGCTGGATCCCCATGGGCTGCGCGTGCCCCGACCAGGCGAAAGCCCTGCTCAGCAACGAGCTCCACCGCGAGTGGGGCACCACCGCCGCGAAGTACCGCGCGCGCTCCGGCCTCAAGTTCGCCGACGGCACCTGGAAGTCCAAGGCCCGCGCCCTCTCCCACCGACTCGAAGACGACGCGCGCCGCCTCGCGGACCGCGCCGCCCTCGCCACCCTCACGACCAACCTCCGCCGCGACAGCTAGGGGGCGGCCTCCGGCCGCCACCTGGCTCGGCCGCCAAGGTACCCCACGAACCCCCCTGGACAAGCCCCCCCTTCTTTGATATTGATCACCGGTCGGCCAGGGCTCCACCTGGGGAGGTGGGGTGCGGCCATGGATGAAGAGAATTGCATTTACAGGAATACAGTATGTTTCCGGTACCGAGATAGTAAACTCAGGGACAGGGAGGCAGCCTAGTGGGGCCGCCCTGCTGTCCGAGGGTGAACTATCGAAGCTAGACCGGGGCCGGTGCTGCGGCTTAATTTTTTGAGTGACGCCGTCGCGTTTTCCCACACGAGGGAGAGGGAAATTCGTCGCGGGACGCGTCGGGCGTTGCGGGAGCAGGTGGCTCTCCTCGTCTCTTATCATGACCGTCGAGCATGACTTCCTAATGGGGATCAGTCACAATGCTGTTCCAGTGTATGGAAGAGCCTGCCGCAGCGAGGCTGTGGATGTTGTTCCACGATTTATCTAGATTCTCCCTGATCTATCTCGCGAACAACAAACTTGCATCTAACAACCGCAGAGCTCATTCACGCAACGTAGTTGCCGTCAGGATCTCGTTTACAGAGCTTTGCATGAAGATCACACCAAGTATTGTCTGGACACGTGAAACTTGCGTGCTCAGTCCTTCTCCATCGCATGGTACCATCCAAATGTTTGGCTCTATGACCAAACGGACCACTCCACTGTTTCCCATTATTATTAAAAGGAGACTGATCGACCAACTTTACTGCGCAATAGCCCAGACTCAACAGAAGATCTTTCCATTCGTCAGTCCTGCGCGTCTCTACACTTACAATGTCAGGACGATCGTTCATATGTATCTTTTGTAGACTTGAAAGACACGCACGGTCCCGCCCCTCAATGTCTATTTTCATGTAGTGGGCTTTTCCATACTGTTGTACTATTGAGTCACATGTTATTGTGGTTATGTTGAGTGGAGTACACTCGCAGTATTCACACACCCAATCGATTGATCCAGTACGACAGCCGAGCTCTTTAATGAAAGATGAAAATACGTCATGCGTGTTCATCCAAAACACCATCATCTCGCCATTTGATGCGTCGATCCCCTTATTTATGACGGTTAAATTTGGATGTTTCATACTTGCAGAAAGAATTGGGTTGGCTTCGACTGCTACAACGCGAAATCCACGTGACAACATGTGATCCGTGTCACCACCGGTATTCATTCCAATGTCATACGTCAATTTAGAATCGGTAACGACACAAATAAGCAACAAGACGATCAGCTGCATTTCGTTTCCAATCCCAGAGCTGCAAGCGCTTCGGGAGCGCTGGCGCCCAGGTTGGGAATCAGGTTCGCCACAACTTTTAGCCATTATCGCCCGTCTTTCCCGGTAATAGTTTTTAGGGAAATTGCTATGTTGGAACCAATAAGGGTGTATATATACTATGATGGAAACAAGTAGGGTATGAAATGCTATGATGGAACCAATCGTTATTCATGAATATGCATGAAGTCTAAGTTCATGACATGGTACGGTTCCATCGCTCTCTCGATATTGGTTCCATCATACATATGAGGATATTGATTCCATCATGCATATCCGAGCGTGTTGGTTCCATCTCGCTTTATGCAATATTAAGTATTGGTTCCATCATACATATTCGACAATGTTGTTTCCATAAATGTATTGGTTCCATCATACATATCCGCTGGTATTGCACTAGTGTATTGGTTCCATCTTGCTTTCTGGACATTGGTTCCATCTTGCTTATAGAGATATTGGTTCCAGCATGCGTATGGAGATCTTGATTCCATCATGCATATCCGCGGGTATTGGTTCCTGACCTGAGTAGACCACGCCCCTCCCCTGGCGGAGAGAGACGTGCGAGAAGCTACTAGGATAGCTTAGGCTACGCTCGAGCCAATGGGGGGCCTCTCCAGTAAAAGCGACGCGAGTTGCAGCGCGTTGGCCGCCGCGCGGCCCTCGGATGCAAATTTGCTCGGCGGGAGCGAGACGGGCGTGGGCGACAATGCCTTGGGCACCGGTGCGGCGGCGGCGTCCGACGAAGACGGCGCGGGCCGACGGTTTTCCGCTTCCGGCGCTTCGGTCGGGCTGGGCGCGGCCCGCGAACCGGTTTCCCGGTGTTTCCCGGACGCGATACTCGGCTCGGGGCCGCGCATGGACGGTCGCCCCCGGGGGCGCCGGGCCGTGAGTTGCGGAAAGTTGCGGAAGTTTGGGTTTGGAAGGAAATCGTGCGAATCGCGCGCTCTCGGGGAAATCGTCGAACTCGGGGGTTCAGGGGGGTAGTAGAGGGGCGGGGACCGCTTCACGGGGCGCGGGGAAAGCCCTTGTCGGGGCTGGGACCGTTTGCTCATGACCGTGTTCGCCTAGGTGCAGCGGCTCCGCGCGGAACACCCGCCGGGCGGGATTCGGCGGAGCCCTCGGGCGGCGGCGCGGCCCTCCTGGACGTCAACGGGCTCCTCGGCGCGCCGCGCGTCGTCGCCACGCCGGGCACGCCGCCGCGGAGCTCGATCGGCGGCGGCACGCCGGCGGGGAACGAGCGGGACTCCGCGCGGAAGTTCGCGTCGGGCGGCGGCTCGAGCGGGCCTTCGTCGCGGCCACGGAGCTCCTCACGCAGGCCGGCCTCCACGAGGCCGACGAGCCCGTCGAGCTCGCCGTGCCGGCGCTCCCGGACGACGTCGACCTCTCCGCGGACGGCGACGAGTCCGTCCCCTCCCTGTTACTCCGACGACGAGGTCAGCGAGTCCGACTCGACGACGACGACGCCCGGCTCCGCGCCGACGCCGAGGCGCGCGAGGCGGGGGATTAACGTCTATTTTCTTCACCTCGTGCGAGCGAGCTGTGCCAAAGACCGTCCAGAAGCAGGAGCAGGCGGCGGCGCCGAAGGCTGGACGCGACGGTGGACTGCTTCGTGCCGGGGTTCTTGAGCCTGTGGGCCTCGTCGAAGACGAGGAGGTCGAGCATGGCCGTGAAGGCGTTCGCGTGCCGCACCATGGCCTCGTAGCTGATGACCGCGACGAGCGGCGCCGACGTCGTCGCCAGCCGCCGCAGGACCTCCGCGACGGACAGCGCGCGGGAGTCGCCGTCGGCGGTGACGATGGCCGGGGCCTCGGTGCCGAGGAACTTGCGGAACTCGGCGAGCCAGACGGGCACGACGGTGGCCGGCGCGACGACCAGGACCCGCGTCGCCGCGGCGCCGCCGCCGCCGAGCACCGCGGCGATGACCGCGATGGCCTGCGCCGTCTTGCCCATGCCCGGCGCGTCGCCGAGGATCGCCGCGGGCCGCGCGAGCACGAACGCGACGCCCTCGCGCTGGTGCGGCTTCAGCGCGTCCGCGAGGCCTCGCGGCACGTCGCGGAGCGCGAGCGGCGGCGGCGGCCCCGCGCGGACCGGCGGATCGCCGCGCGCCGGCTCGGCGGGGGCCGCGGGGACGAGTCCGCGACGAGGGTCTGGGGCGTCAAAACGAGGCGAAAATCCGGCTCCTGCCGCGCGCGCGGGTCCGGGAGCGGAGGCAGAAGCGTTTCCGCGGCGACGGTCGCGGCTCCCTCGCCGTCACCGGGGCGCGCCGACGCGCCTGGAGCGGGCTCGGGGCCGCCCACGACATGGTCGCCGCGGGCCCGCCCCTCGCCTCCAGCGTCGGCGGCCGGAACACTGCCTACGAAGCGCACGAGGTGGGGTCCGCGCCGCGCGTCGTCGCGCGCCCCGAACGTCGCCCATGGGCCGCGAGAATTTTGCGCACCTGGTGCGCCCGACTGCGTATCACGTGGCGAAGCCATGGCGCACGGCGCGGGGTCCCAGGAGGCGATTTCCAACGAGGCGCTCCGGGAGCAGCTCCTCGCATGCCTCTCTGTGCCCCGCCGCCCGGGGGGAAGTTATGACCTCAGGCGGGGGTAAGGGAGCGGCATGGTCTACTCATGCCAGTATTGGTTCCAGCATGCCATTCCGGATAATATATATTAGGTATTGGTTCCATCTTGCTTATAGGCATATTGGTTCCAGCATGCGTATGGAGATATTGATTCCATCATGCATATCCGCGGGTATTGGTTCCAGCATGCCATTCCGGATAATATATATTAGGTATTGGTTCCATCTTGCTTATAGGCATATTGGTTCCAGCATGCGTATGGAGATATTGATTCCATCATGCATATCCGCGGGTATTGGTTCCAGCATGCCATTCCGGATACTAATATATTAGGTATTGGTTCCATCTTGCTTATAGGCATATTGGTTCCATCATGCGTATGGAGATCTTGATTCCATCATGCATATCCGCGGGTATTGGTTCCAGCATGCCATTCCGGATAATAATATATTAGGTATTGGTTCCATCTTGCTTATAGGCATATTGGTTCCAGCATGCGTATGGAGATCTTGATTCCATCATGCATATCCGCGGGTATTGGTTCCAGCATGCCATTCCGGATAATATAAATAGTGATACTATCGATCAAATGATGATAGCTAATAGAACCCCTATTCGTACGACCCTCTGCGACCTCCAGGTGCTCTGGGGCAGCCCCGGCATCATTGGGGTTTTGCTTCGCTTCTTGGATCTATCGAGCATCACCTCTCTCCCAGCGTTGGCGCAGCGTTTCGCGGCGGATCACGTGCGTGTGCTGGTGATGCTTGCCCGGACCACACCTGGACTCGAGCGACGCCTCATGGAAGTGCTGTCTGATAACGGCTACGATGCCGTCCGATTTCGGCAGCGGTGGGAAGGCCCGCTTCGTGCGAACTGGATGCGCGACGACGCGGAGCAGGATGGACACGGTCGTGTTCCCCCTGTGGACATCCGTAAACGACGATCGGGATCTGGGCCTTGCTTCTTGTCTATAACCCATGGTGGACTGGTTTGGCCGGTAACAGGTTCCAGAAATTGTGTGACGCGGTTCAAGGTACTGTTTCGTTATGGCGACCTCGACGCCGGCGCGCCCTCGTTTGAGCTAGCGTCGCGTGCTGACCCCCAATCTTGGAACAAAAAGGGGCCTCCTCCGTTCTTATGCAGATTGTTTGTAGAATGTGATGAACAGGCAAAGTCACGTCGTGGAGGGCGCTATGGTGCACTGATGTATCAGAGTGGCAGGTCAACACACGTTCTCCAGGCGGAT